GTTACCTTCTGGCTGGAGAAAAACTCTCCCAGGAACAGCCTTTGGCTGCAGAGAATCAAGTCCAAAACATGGTCAACAAAAACTGTAACTATAAGTCCAATCAAGGCAAAATGAGGCAATTAGTCCAGCAGGGCAGGAGCAAGAATTCCAGAAGGCACGGCAATAACTTAAGACATCAGGAACACAGATAACCAAAGTCAACACAAGATAAACTCATATTTGCTCCCAGCAGCTGCTGCACTCAGCATGCATTTCTTTTAAACTCTCTTTCCAGCTGTGGCTAATGAAGGAAATCAGGGCCCTTTTCTCCCCCATAAGCCACGCAACCCACGTTGCTCTCTTCTCCATTCCTCCCTGCATGCCCTAGGATGAAGAGCGGGTAGGCCTGGGTCTTCCTCTGAACTCCCTCTCCCTTGTTCTACCTCTTCCCTGCTCTGCCCAGTCGGACTTTGCTGTTCCCCAGTTTCCCCCACAGCCAATGGAGCCACACTCCCACTCCCTGTCAGCTGTTCGCCTTCCTCCTCGGATTCATACTCCGACAGGGGCATGACACTACTCATCTGATATATGAACAGTTTAAGTATGGCTAGTCATTTTCTTAAGTATTCTTATCCATGCAGCTAATGGCCAAGTGAGGAACAACAAAAGTCTGTTTCTTTTCATGTACATCTCAAGGCCTTATACCTCTCCAGCTTTGAATCCAATTATGCATATTTCTGTATAACACAAACCTTTTGCAAACATTGATAAATTACTTCTATTCAGTTCCTGGCTACATCTTTATCTGTCTGAGAACAAGGGATCATAGCAATTAATTCTACAGATAAGTAACTGTAATAACAAAAAAATATAACATTATTAATTTTACAAGAAACATATGACACTGAATAAACACTTAAGACCAATTTAGGCAAATGTTGGATAATACATAGAAACCACTTGCAAAATGTTGCTAATGTAGGATATATATTATCCATTTCCAATCTAATGCTGCTCAGCTGTTAGAATAGAACTGGAAGGGACCTTAGAGATCGTCTAGTCCAGCCCCCTGCCCAAGCAGGAGAACCCATACTATTTCAGATAAGTGGCTATCTAGTTTCTTCTTAAAGATCTCCAGTGATGGTGCACCCATGATTTCTTGAGGCAAGCTATTCCACTGGTTAATTGTCCTCACTGTTAAGGAAGTTTCTCCTTAATTCCAGGTTTCTTCTGTGTTACATCACAGTTCCCTCCTCCATTATTAGTCAGCCTCATTAGATAGACCAGACCAAGAAATCAATGCCATACAGGTCTAAAATTACAGGTAGTCCTCAACTTATGACTACAGTTAAGCTCAAAATCTATGTTGTTAAGTGAGGAATTTGTTGAGTTTTCTCCACTTTATGATTGTTCTCACCTCGTTTGTTAAATGAATCAATGCTGGATGCTTCTATTCTAAAATCTTGAAAACCTCTGAATAATAGCAAAGCATGCCTTCAACGGTTACATCTTATTAATGTAATATATTTACATATTTAAAAAAATAATAATCCTCACCAGTTAACTAGTGATGCATATAATTAAGTTTTGTGGGTTTGGTGAATCCTGCCAAGCAACAGATGGGAAACTGGCCTTGGCAAATTAATCACACCTTTCATTGGTTTAGGAGTTAACTCTTCATATTTTTGTGGGAATTTAAAGATCTCCCTACTGCTTATAATAAGCAAGTTGAAAAAAAAAAAGTCAGGAAACTTTTAATCCCTCACTGAAACTTCTTTGTTCGTGCATCCTGTGCTACTGACGATTTCAAAACAAGATCTTCCTAATGGCATTTGAAATGGGAAATTTTAAACTACAGTAAGTTATTTTAGCTAAACAGGAAATGGCCTTCCTGTTCTGACCTTTGAGAAGTCATCGAGCTAACCTTCTGAGTCTCTTCATGATTTTTCCTATCTTTTTATATTCATAACTTAGCGCAATGCCCGTGCTTCGCTGGGAAACTACGTCGTGGGGCTTAGTTTTTTGGGGAGGAAAATAAGAGGGGAAAAAAATCTGCCTGTGCCTACCAGCATCCATTGGCATTCATCTGGCTAGCATCCTGTCAGTATGCGAGGCTGTTTGGAAACTGTATTTGCTGTGTGAGCAAGAAGGAGACAGCAAGGAGCCTGGGTGTGGCTTAGCTCAAATGTTCTGTACTAAAGCTGCTTGGTGCTGTGAAACTAAAAATGAACCTGAAACTCTTCTCCTCTGCTTGTGTTTTGCATTTGGAAGAGATTTCTTTTCAGGTGGGGAGGGGGAGTAGAACTCCTTAGCATCAGAGAGTGTTAATAATAATAGGAAATACAAATGCTGTTATGGTTATTTGAAAAATCCTTTCTTAGTGAGCACCTAGAAGCCAAGAGGAACATACGTGCCAAATTTCAAGTTTGTAGACTTTACGGTTCTGGAGATTTTGCGATAATGCATGAGTAGTATTTCGCTTTTATGTAGATAGAAGAAGATAGGAGATTTTTCCTTCGCCAGATTATTACGTTTTATGGTTTTTAAGTTCTAATTTGGATCCTTACAGAGATTTCATGCATAGAAAAAGAATCATCATCATTTTAGCCATTGTTTGTCCACTACATGACGAAGACCTCTTCTGCATGTTTCCAACCAATATGCTCCTGAGTTTTCTTTTGCCAGTTGGGTCCACAATATTTGCTGATGTCATAGATCCATCTTGATATAGGTCTCTTTCATGGATGCTTTTTATCCAATGGGATCCATTCTACGACTGCCTTGGTCCACCTGCCATCGGTTCTTCTTGCGATGTGACCAGGCCATTTCCATTTCCATTCTTTTACTCTTTTGACGGCATCCTTTATTTTCCTTTGTTCTGTAATCAATGTGCAGGTCTTTCTATATTGTCTTGTGATGCAGAGCATGTATCTTTATGTGGCTCTTTGAGGCCACACTCATAGCTTTTGTATTGATTGTAAGCAGATATGGTATTCAGCAGGTTCTGACTAGTTCTGGAGAACCGGTAGTGGAAATTTTGAGTAGTTCGGAGAACTGGCAAATACCACCTCTGACTGGCCCCGCCCCCATCTATTCTCTGCCTCCCGAGTCCCAGCTGATCCGCTGGGTCTTCTTTTGTTGCCCTGCACAGGAGAATGGAGTTGGAAAGCAGGTTAGGGTGGGGAGGGAGTGGGGATTTTGCAGTATCCTTCCCCTGCCACGCCCACCATGCCACGCCCACCAAGCCACGCCCACAGAACCAATGGTAAAAATTGTTGAATCCCGCCACTGATTGTAAGGTTAGTGTCCATGTTTTGCTGGCATATATTAGAAGAGCAAAAGAATAAGAACTACAAAAATAACCCATCTATTATTTATTATTATAAATCTATTATAAACAGTATATACGCCAGTGGTGGGATTCAAATATTTTTACTACCAGTTCTGTGGGTGTGGCTTGGTGACCGTGGCAGGGGAAGGTTACTGCAAAATCCTATTCCCTCCCCACCCCGCTAACCTACTTTCCAGCTCCGTTCTCCTGTGCAGGGCAACAAAAGAAGACCCAGCCGATCAGCTGGGACTCGGGAGGCACAGAATAGACGGGGGCGGGGCCAGTCAGAGGTGGTATTTGCCGGTTCTCCGAACTACTCAAAATTTCCACTATCGGTTCTCCAGAACTGGTCAGAACCTGCTGAATATCACCTCTGGTCATAAGTCACCTTTTTCAGTGCTATTGTAACTTCAAACAGTCACTAAGTGAACCGTTATCAGTCAAGGACTACCTGTATATAGCATGAGAACTTTTACACACACACCCCCGTCCCTTTAGTGATAGGAAAAGTGGAGTTCCCAATTTTTTCAAGCCAGAGGTCTGCACCCACAGCCAGAAGTGTGAAAAATGGTCATAATTTACTTTTTCAGTGCCATTTCAGGTCTCTAAGTGAACTGTTCGTTGTAAGTCAAAGACTACATGTATATGAGAGCTGCTATTATTATTATTATTATTGTTGTTGTTGTTGTTGTTATTGTTATTATTCACAAAAAACAACAGTGTACACAGCAACTGAGATAACCATGCTAGGTTTCGTATCACAAATGACTAGTTGAACACTTCCCAAGCATTCAGGACTGTGTGATGTATTGGTGGATTATGTGAGCAGATCCCAGTAAGGTGGCCTTCTGCAGCTGACCAATGGTGATCTTGTCAGTGCCAATTGTTTTCAAGTGCTTGCCTAGGTCTTTAGGCACAGCACCGTGTGCCGAGTACCACTGGAACCACCTGCACTGGTTTATGCCAGAGTCTCCGCAGTTCGATTCTCAAGTCCTGATATCTGGTGATTTTTTCATGTTGTTTCTCGTCGATTTTGCTGTCACCAGGTATGGCAATGTCGACGATCCACACTTTTTTCTTCTCCACAATCGTAATATCCGGGGTATTGTGTTCCAAAACTTTGTCAGTCTGTATTCGGAAGTCCCACAGTAGTTCTACATGTTCATTTTCGACCACATTTTCAGGTTTATGATCCCACCAGTTATTATTATTATTATTATTATTATTATTATTATTATTATTATTATT